TATAGGATATCTTGTCCGGATTGTCCTAGCAAATACATAGGGCAAACAGGTCGTGCCTTTCAAACACGATATAAAGAACACCGACCAGATCCTAAACACCATAAACAAAAATCCGCGTTTGCTCAACATCTTGTAGATTGTAATCACTCAATGAGTGATATTAAGAACGGCTTGGAAGTTCTACATTTTTGCGGGAAAGGTAATAAGTTGGACACACTTGAGGAGTATGAGATATATAAAATGAACGTAAACGAAGAACACAAGGAATACATCCTCAATGATAAACTACAATTCAAGTCCCACTCCCTCTTCAACACCGTTATCTCATCTAGAACAGCTGACCACCGAGCTGATAACAGAGAAGGACGGGACGAAGTTACTTAACCCGTGTCCAGTCTACCTACAACCGCTGCCGTGCCGTGTCGATAGCGCTATCGTGTTATTACGTGTTTAAATGTTTCGTGTTCCGTGTTTTGTTTTATGTATAAATCATTTGATGTTTTTGACAAAAAGCTCTGACGATGTTGCAGTGCAACGAAACATGTAAGCTTTGAACAACATTAGTTGAAAAAGACACAATTTTGGACTACTGACGGAGGTAAGCCTATATAAGTCATTATTCGTAGTCCAGGGGCTATCAGAATGAATAATATGTAAAACCGCCCAGACCCGAATGTTTAAGGACCTTGGTCGCCCGTAATGACGTCATCAATATGGAGCTCGTAAGAGGATGCTGGGTCGCTATGAATTGGTTATTATACCAAAATGCTTGAACCGATTTTAATGAAATTTGGCATACAAGTGCTTGAATACTATATCTAATTTCATGGAATAGGCAAAATACCCCCACCGCAGCAAACCTGCAGATTAAGTGAGTTTCCATTTGCCTGATTTGATTTTCAATTAAATCTATTTCAACAACATTAAGTTTAATTAGTTCCTAGGGTTGCTGCTGCGGAGAGGATAATAAAGTGGGTTTTTTTTAATTAAAACATTATAGCTTAGGTCAAAATGAATAAATTTGCCAAGTTTTATCAAAATATATCCATAAACGAGTAAACTACAATAGTTTACTTATTCTCCATAAGATTAAAATGTGAATGATAAATTTACAATTTTTGAATTTTCTCGGTAGGTAACCAATATCCGTACAAAAACACTTCAATAAACAAAATTATTTGGTTTTTAAGGTGTTCAAATTTATCATGGTATCCAAAATGGTTTAGAGAGAAATTGGAAAATGTTAAATAGAGGGTTAAACATGACAAAACCTAATTTTGACCCCATAAATCCCCCCCAAAACCCCGTTCCCATGGTCTGATCATGCTGGATTTGCGAACTCGTTAGAATCAATCCGAAGATTTGTTGTACTTTTCTATATGATATAACATCAAACTTTAACAGCGTTAATGACTGTAGACGTGTACTTTTTAAAGAACGTTAGCAGAACTCAAGCAAAAATTACCCAATGTTGACGAAATTTGATAAAAACATGTAAATCTACGTTAACTCGAACGAGGTCGCGAACCAGCATGATCGGACCATGAGAACGGGGGTGTTCTGGGGGATTTATGGGGTTATAATTGGGTTTTCTCATGTTTGTCCCTCTAAACGTAAAATTTTTGAATTTCTCTCTAAACTATTTTGAATACCCTGATTAGTTATTTTGCTAGTTTATGGTTATATTTTGATAAAACTTGGCGAATTTGTTTAACCTATTCATATTTTAATAAAAAAAAAAACACTTTATTACCCTCCCTGTAACAGAAAACCTAGTTAACACTAAACTTAATGTTATTGAAATTGATTTAATTGAAAATCAAATCAGGCAAATGGAAACTCAATTAATCTGCAGGTTTGCTGCGGTGGGAGTATTTTGCCTATTCCATGAAATGCAGAGATGGCATCAAAACCTGTGATTGCAAGGAAAATGAAAGATCGCTGCAGATTTATGAGAGAGTTGAAAAAACAAAACAATTTTCAATTATTTTAATTATTAACGGCCGCCATTTTGAAATAACCCAACCAAACTCGACCATTGACAAACAGGGATTAGATATAGTATTCAAGCACTTGTATGCCAAATTTCATTAAAATCGGTTCAGGCATTTTGGTATAATAACCAATTCATAGCGACCCAGCATCCTCTTACGAGCTCCATATTGATGACGTCATTACGGGCGACCAAGGTCCTTAAACATTCGGGTCTGGGCGGTTTTACATACTTGGTCTTATATATTATCTTCACCTTAAGTTGCAGGATCATTGCCAGAACTGAAATATGTTTCTGTTACCCATCCCCACTACTAAGCTGTCAGTGTTAAGTCAAAACGACGATGGAGAAAAACGAGTTAGAGACCATGACGATTCCATGGAAGGTGATAATGCATCAGTAGCTGATGAACAATATGACACGTGGTGGTTAAAGATACGTAACTACCAGTTACTGTACTTGGTTAATTTTCCTCACAACTTTAACATGTGACACAGACTCATGATCAATTTTGCAATAGGTGATTGATATTAATTAACTGGATTATTTTACCTTAATGAATTTGTCATATTTAGTTTTTCATTAATAAATTACTCTTTTTCTGATAAACTGTCGGTTTTATTACTTTTATTATGTTCTTTTTCGATTCTGCATCCTAAGAAACATAGAAAACGACACCCCACTTGCTTGGATCCCATAAATAAAAATTTTCTCAAAATCACTACCCCCATAAACTTAAAACCCCATAAAATGGTACTTCCACCCCCACAATCACTAGGGACTCTTCAGATTCCAATACCTAATGGTAATTACTACGTTTCCTGAAAGTTTCATGAATGGACTAATTTTTATGTTTTCTACTGGTTTTTTAGTATAATTTTACCTGTACTAGCAATGGCTGAGCTCATACTGGACTAATGTAGTCGAGGTTGTGGGTAATTATTTGGTATGTCTACAATGCGATATTATGTACTTTTTTGATGTCTACTTACAGTATTTTTCACGCTGAATCCAAAAATGCAAACTGTTTTTGTCGGAGAGATTCCTAAATGACCTTACAGTTAAATAATTAATATTAAGCTTCAGTTTTGTTGTAATATTCACATATTTGTGGTATGGACGAGTCCAAGTTCTAGTGGCGACTAACACTAAAAGGGGTGGAAGGTTTGTGGAGTGGAAACAGCTGTCAGTTGTTTACATTCGTTACTAAACAGACAAAACCACACACGACGCCATGAGAGCAAAATCAGAGTTACAATGCAATAACTAGATTTTTAAAAGAAAATGGACTTTGGTGCTGTTTAGAAAATACAATAAATCAACTACGATACATAAACTATTAATCACATGAACATAACTTATAAATTTATTCACGTAAAATATCAGCAATAGAAGCTAGGCCACTGCCGACATGATCATCGTCCTCATTCCAATCCTCAACCATTGACTAAGTATTGCCTCAACGTCTGTTAATGAACGTGCCATAGTGCATAATCCCATAGTACATAATCCCATAGTACATAGTCCCATTGTGTCTAAAAGTTAAAACGTGCCACAGTGGATAGTTTAATGTATCAGCAACTAATAAAAGATGTTAAATAATCTAATTTAATCTAATCTAATCTAACCTAACCTAACCCAACCCAACCTGAATATGAATGTTTAAATCACATCTTATGTCAGAAAAGGCATGTGAGGAAGATAGGTCGGACTTTATGCGGATTCGTGACTGTATTAAGTGTTTTGAAGTGAGGTTAGATTAGGAAGGTAAAGGTTAGGTTATAATGAACCGACTCATTAATTTATGCTAATTCCAGACTGTTTTTGCACAATTAAATAGTGGTAGAAACACAATGAAATAACAATATCAAAAATGCTTAGCATTTTTGATATCATTTCATTGTGTTTCAACCACTATTTAATTGTGCAAAAACAGTCTGGAATTAGCATAAATTAATGAGTCGGTTCATTATAACCTAACCTTTACCTTCCTAATCTAACCTCACTTCAAAACACTTAATACAGTCACGAATCCGCATAAAACCCGAATTACCTTCCTCACATGCCTAAATAAGAACTGATTATCTCTGGTTCTGGTTTCAAAACGAATTGATTTCATTCCGCATTAAGTCGAGTACAAACAGCGAAACAGCTGTTTGCTCTCGTCCTCACTCAGTCCTCAGTCTACATACGGACCCGTCCAGACCACGCCATATTGCCATCAGTATAGCTCAATGAACCTTAGATTCGTAATGTTGACCTTCGTTTTACGATCATTTAGGAATCTCTCCGACAAAAACTGATTGCATTTTTGGATTCAGCGTGAAAAATACTGTAAGTAGACATCAAAAAAGTACATAATATCGCGTTGTAGACATACCAAATAATTGCCGAGGTTGTGCAACTACATCAATTGATGTCTAGGCTGATAGGAGTGCTCGTTGCGTGACTACATCAATTTATGTAACTTAAGTCAGCACTGAACGTGTTAATTAGGCCTGTACACAATATACATCTTTCATGATCCCTGTGTTTCCCTTGGTTGAAGTTCTAAGAATGTATGCCTAATTAGCCCTAGGCTAGGCCTAGGCTTAAGCCCAAAACTTTATTTAACTTAGGCCTAACTATTTATTTATTTATTCCAACGGTTTCTCCATGAATAGGTAACTTACAATATTGTCTGAATCTTAGATTTACAAGATGGCAGAGGATGAAACTTCTAAATAAGCAATTCATGCTAATTCAAACTAGCCTAAGTTAAATGAACTAAGTTTAAGGCTAATAAAAGTAGCAAATGTAAGGAAACTTTTAATTGTCCAGATTAAGCTAGGCCTACCTACCTACAAATATAGCTTAAAGTTAGGCTAGTTGGGTCCTAGGTAGGGCCTAGGCTTGAATTAAAAAAATATTATAGTTAAGTTAGGCTTAACATTGTGAAAACTAGAAGGATAAGCTAATCATCCAAAAGAATGTGCTCCTAGGCCTAATAATTATAGAATAGACTTACCAGAATTAGGCCTGGAAACATTTTCTAAACTGCCGTTGATTCCTCCACTTCTACTCCTGTTTATTCCTATACATCCTCCCATTCTGTATATAAAAACAATTGTGACATTGCTAACGACTATCGCTTAACACGAAAGGAATACTTCCCAATTCCTAAACATCATTCCAGAAACCATAATATTCATTGTTTCCTGTCCGTCTGTAAGTATTAGTATGTAAGTCGTAAGTTAGGTAATAATGTGTTTGTGTAAGTGTTTGTATGATATAGTTAAAAACCATTAACCAATAACCATCCAGCAAGCAACCAATGAACCAATGCAACCAATTTCATTTTTTCTATAGAGTGAACACTGAACAGTGAAGTGAGAGTGAGGAGACCAAAAATACCAATACCAATGCTCACTTGATTCTTGATTGTAGCATTGAGTCACGATTTAGAACAGAACGAAAACAAAAAACGTCACCATTCACAATGCATATAGAACACTATTTATTCTATAATTATGGGTACATCAACATTATGTTTGAAATATCGACATAACATATATTTCATACTAAATAATACTCCACTAAACCCGCGAGTCAGGAGTCACATGGTTGAGCGTGCTGAGCCCCGGGTCCGAGGTCCGAGTAACGCTGAACGGACGTGTTGAGCAGCCCCTGGTACCATCGGACGGGTGTTTCATTTATTCATGGTTCAATACAGTTAAAGTATTGGAACAGGTCCATTGTGTTTATATTTATTTGTGGTGTGTTTATTATTGTACATATTTTATTTTACCACCGACAGTCCAAACAAACCAATTTACAATTATTTTAACTAAACATGTTCATATTCAAGATGGCTATATCTAAAGGGTCATGCCAGAAACGTTGCGAGCCCTGGGGGCAAAGGTTACATTTTGGCCTGACTTAAAGTAATGTGACAAACAATTTCAGGTCTGTGTCCAACAGAGCCATAGTTCCATATAAGTTCCATATAAGTTAGCATGGCAAACACCTGGCCTGTGAGGACGTAGCACAGTAAGCGCAAGCAGTCTGGGTGCGCGGTTCCATCTCTACTAGCCTAGCCTTCCTGTATACATTCAACCCACCCCTCTACCTCATCTAGCCAGATATCAGAACACTAAACCGTGTGGGTCAGATGTTTTTGGAAATGAGCAATAAACACTCCCTCCTTCACCACGGGCCATAGCACGACCTTTAGGGGGCCGTAGCAAACTAATTGCGACTACTGTACGCTAGGATTCATCCTACAAACTAATTCTGCCAAACCCTGAATACGAACCTGGGTCCCTATTTTTGAAATGGTTGACAGTTGACTCTACAGTCAACACTCAACTCAACCAACAACAGGATTTGGTATTTTTGAAATCCAACAGTTTGGAAGCGAGTTGGAAATCATTAGTTGAGTGACTCTTTTTGGAAATGTAGAGCATACGACCGCCCAAAATTCAGATGACGTCATTTTAAACCAATCACAATGCAGAGTTTTTGTGATCTTCGATTTTACCTCTTCTTACTCTAAAAACTGGATCAGCTAATCTCAATCTACCATATTTCGAGATACTGAGGTAAACTGTCAACTCCGTTCTTGAGAGATTGAGGTTATGTCTTGCTTAATCTTAGTGATTGCAAAAGTACCTTATATAAACTTATAAGTATTAGCAATAAAATTTACAATGGATGTTTGTTTGTTTTATGGTGTAGCTCATTATAAGTTTAGGCATATCCTAAATACATTATTATTTGCTTTCTTCGTAGGCCTATCTATTTCAGAACACATCGCCTTATTTTAGTTTTCTTCGTCGTTTTGTTTCATGTTATTTTTAATTGTGTTTTTATTTAGGTTAAAGCTTAAGGCTATTTGCCATTGCACTGAAAGCTTATCGTAACTTAAATTAATTTGATCCCTTTATTAGGTGAATGGTATTGAAACAAACTATGATATTGTTTTTTTGTTTCTCTCTACCACAATCTTTAATACCTTAAATCATAGGTCTAATAACAATAATTATCTTTTAATAAGTTTAATTAGTATCCTAGTGTATTTCTAACAAATTAAATAGTCTTATAACAAAGTAAATAGATTAAATAGTCTAGTATTGACACAGTAAATAAAATTAACAATCACAAAATATTGGGTGCTAAGACATTGACAACAAATACATAACCTCTAAATCGCAATTAGTAAATTAAAGCAATAACAAAACAATATGGCGTCGACTCAAAAAGAGTAATTTTTGCCGAAAGAGAGGAAGAAGAAAGTGCAGTCAACCTCCACTCAACAGCTCGATAGGTGTTGAGTAGTTTTGGTTGTATAAGTCCACCGTCAATCGTTTCAAAAATACGAAACGATTGGAAATAGAATGACTCGACACTCAACTCAACAGTCAACCATTTCAAAAATAGGGCCCCAGGAGACACTACCTGATAAGTCAATAAGTCATTTATTTAACCAAAATAACATATACATGCCATGCCATTTGACAAAACATACATTTTCTTGATTTCAATAAGAAATTAAAACTGTCTTATTTTTTTAACTAAGTAAGAATACCAATGATCAAACAAGTTTGATAGTTTTTTAGCCGTCAGCCAGGAACTTATGGACGCTGTAATAAGCTTTTTTTTAAAGAAAAGATTTTAGGGTTTTTTTTAATTTCAGAGGGTTTGATACCTACTGCTTTGAGGTGAGAGGGAAGATGGTTGAACATTTTTATTGCATTATATCGGAGATGGTTTTGAAAGAAGGAAGTGTGGTGTCTAGGAACTGGGAGGGTATTTGTGGATCTCAAACTATAATGATGGTCTGTTGGAGTGTTAAAATTGCCAGTGTTTTGGTGCAGAAAGGATAATGTCTTGTAGATGTTAGGACATGGGAACGTTAATATTTCGGATGATAGAAAAACTGGTTTACAAGTCTGACGTCTATTCATTGAAAAGATGGCTAGCTGATAGCCCTCTTTTGAAGGCGGAATAAAAGCAGAGTTCTTTTGTTCTCACACCCCCAGATAGGCAAAGCGTACACGAGATGAGGGAAGATAAGACCATAATAATCAGAAAGAAGGACATCGGGCTTAGATAGCTTTGCAAGGGTGCGGATGGCAAATATCCCTGAACTTACCCTATTGATGACGTATTGCATGTGGTCATGGAAATTAATCCTCTCGTCTATGATCAGCCCAAGAAACCGTGCCTTCTCTCTTGGGTGTACTCTGGAACTGCATCCAAGTGAAAACTAAAATACTAAATAATAACTAAAAAAATAACTAAAAAAACTAAAATAATAGAAGATCGATCAGAGATATGAAAATTGAGAAGTTGAGTATTTTATGAGAGTTTATTGAAAGCAGATTATTCCCAAACCACTGAACTAGCTTGTTGGCTTCAGAGAAGGTCAATTGCTCATGAGTCTCTACATCAGGGCTGGACAAGGAAAGAGATGTTTCGTCGGTATAAAGAATGGTCATAGCCGAATCAACACCCATGGGAATGCCGTTAATATGGTAGGAGAACTACAGACCAAGGATCAAAATTGTGTATACAGTATTTATTTGTAAAAAGTAATATCCCCGCCACAGCAAACCTGCAGACTAAGTGAATTTCCATTTGACTGATTGGATTTACACTGAAATGTCTACTTAAAAATATAACATTTATTCCCGATTTAAATAGAATTAGTTTAACAAGTACTTCGGTTTGCTGCATCAGGGAGGGTAAAACTGTTTTTGTTGTAAAATGTTAATAGTTAGTAAGAAATAAAAACATTTTCCAAATTTGATCAAAATATGTTCATAAACAAGCAAACTACAACAGTTTACTTATTCTCCATAAGAATAACATGGGAATTTTAAATTAAAACTTTTTGGGAATTTTCTCCGTAACCATTAGGTGTATAGTAACGCTTCAATATACTAAATTAGTTGTTTTTTAAGTTCTACAAAATGGTTTGGAAAGAAATTGCTAAATTTTATGTTTTTTGGGTCAAAAATGGGAAAACCCTATTTTTAGCCCATAAAACCCCCCGTAAACCCCCGTTCCCATGGTCCGATCATGCTGGATCGCAAACTCGTTCGAATAGACGTAGGTTTACACGTTTGTACCAAATTTCATCAAAATCGGATCATTTTTGCTCGAGTTATCGTGCTAACGGACACACACACATTTATACAATAATTAACACACACACACACACAAATATATATATATATATATATATATATATATGAATTTGAACGGATGGTGTTTTTGGCCTCTAGGGACCTCAAAACGAAAAAAAAATCTGTCCCGCGTCCAAGTCTTACCATGAGTACTACGGTAATAGCTTATTCCCTATATGGGAAATTCGCTAAAACCAAGGGATATAGAGGATATTTTATAAACGCAAGTAGAAATTACAGTCTTTAACTTAGTGTCTTACCACCCTTGACAAAGGTATATTAGTTCTCTGGAGAAAACTACATTACAAGCTTAACCTAATAAATATCGTAAATTGCAAAAAATATACATGTGCAATGTTTCTGTATAACGCTATGGACTGAAAGGAGAATACAACCATACAGCTGAAGCAAATAGTACTTAAGTTTGTAACGGGTGGGGCAAAACCCCGATCTATTTTCTGCAGCGCACTATTCAGCGACAGGTCGTCTAAAAGTGGTGGGGCGAGGCTTGTTGGACAGCCTATACGATGCCTTTATCTGTGCACTGTTGTCATAGGGCAGAGGTCACCTGAGTAACTTACGTTTGTTAACGAGTCGTTTAAAAAAGTAATGAATCAGTCGTTGCAACTCAGCGGCACATCCATGCATTCTTTAAATTAGGTCGACATGGAGAGGTTCCGTCGCAATTATCCGTATGAGTAATCAACAAAATTAAACAAATTCATACAAATTAGTCTGTATAGGGATAATAATTAAGATCGAACCACGCAATAGTGTAACCGAGCGATAAGACATGTTCAAAAAGCAGATGCTTGTTTTCAGGTGGGCCTTCGAGGACTGTTTTCCACACGAACTCTATCGAATATGTTAGTTGTCTGGAATCCGATCTGACTTTGTATGGCATCTCGGCTTCCTTTTGAACGCAGAAGCCGTTGTTCTAAAGTTGATAACCCACCACATTATTGTGCTACTTAATGGAATCAGCGTCGTCCTAATTTAAAAAATGCACGGAACTTCAACTGCTGCGCTGCAATTGCCATTTTACACTGCACGACACGGCGCCGCCCCGATGTCGTGGGAGTTCGAATCCTGTATTACCAAATGGAATCTGTAATAATGACGTACACACCGTCACGTCAGTGCCGTGCCGTTGCCGATGCCGGTTTGTCGTTGGCAGCATCGCTCCCGCCGGTGCCGTTGGCCGGGTTTCATACAATAATTGTATGATTTCTTTGATTTCATAAAATACAGACTTAGACATGTAATAAAAAGAATGATATAATAACATTTTATCACGCTCAAATATTGATGCTATTTAGGCTAAACAATATTTTTTGCACGACCTATTCTTCTCAAGTTATTGAAACCCATAGTAAATAAATAAACATGCAATTAACACATCAAAGATAAACCGAAATAAAAGAAAATCTGCATTTAAAAATATCCTATCACTATAGTCTTTTTTAAAGCTGGACGATTATATCACGGATACCTTTTAGGCCTCGGGTACGATACGAGTGACGTGCGGCGAGCGGCAAGCGGCGAGCGGCAACCTGAGCGACACGTAAGCGTCGGTGGTGGCTACGATACAAGCGGCACATTTATAACGCTCATCACATTTCCCCAGTTTTATGAGTCAGTTTAGTCGAAAAAGGTTAACTATGCAAGACACACAAGGTTACCTGCAAGACGTATTGCAACTTTTGTTGCTATCTGACAATGGTTTGCCTTTAAAGAAAAACTTAGTTTTTATAAAAAAACCTTAACCCTAAATTGGTCTCATACTTTTCTGGTGACTGAAGTGTTTTAAAATTTCCGTGCTGATCATTCCACCAACATTCTCTGGACTGCACCTCACGTATCGACCCGTATCGCATGCTGTTTCACTGTCATTTTAGGTCGAACTGAAGCATGAACGGCGCCGCTTAGAAGTGCATGTTGAGGGTGGCCACGATACGTCTGAGCAGCAAGCAGCGATGAGCGGCACCGCTCAGCGCCGGTCATGCGGTTCCAGGTCAAAACCGATTTTTGCGAAAACGCTGCTCACCGCTCAGGTGAGTCATGCTTCAGTTCGGCCTAAAATGACAGGGACAAGGAACCAGCAACAAACATGCGATACCGGTCGAAACGTGAGGTGCAGTCCAGGGAATGTTTGTGGAATGATCAGCACGGAAGTTTTAAACACTTCAGTCACCAGAAAAGTATTGGACCAAGTTTGGGTAAAGGTTTTTTTCTAAAAACTGAGTTTTTCTCTAAAAGCAAACCATTGTCAGATAGCAACAAAAGTTGCAATACGTCTTGCAGATAAGCATAGTTAACCTTTTTCGACTAAACTGACTAAAAAAACTGGGAAAATTTGATGAGCGTTATAAATGTGCCGCTTGTATCGTAGCCACCACCACCGCTTAAGTGCCGCTCAGGTTACCGCTTGCCGCTTGCCGCTCACCGCTCGCCGCTCGTATCGTACCCGAGGCCTAACTAGTATATTTGTAATCGGGTTCTCATTCAATTAATTGACCAAACCGATAGACGCATCGTATAGTTTTGTGCTAAGCCTACAGAAAATGTTATGAAAACCAATGAATTCCACTGATAAATCTCATGGTGGAAGGAAAATATTACTTATTATGTATTTTCCTTCCACCATGGATAAATCTACTCCTACATTGATGCAAGTTTAAACGACGACCGGAGAGTCGTGCAGTTGCCGTCGATGTGGCGTGAAATGCCATACCGATTTGTCGTGTCGGTGTCGGTGTTGTGCCGGCGTAGTGTCGTGCAGTGTGAAAACGCCCAATGACTGAATCATTGCTTTAAATTCGACTCGATAACAAACGCACGTTGCTCAGGTAACCACTGCTCTATGACCACAGATAATGGCATCGTTTAGACATTTTTTAGAGTTATTATGAACTCCAGAACCAGATTACAGCCGTGTATTGACAATGACGGAATCCACTTGTAGGATGAGCTGTTTGAAACCAATAAAAGTTATATTAAAATAAACCCCCAAATGTAACCTTTTAATTCCAATATAAAGTTTTGTCCTAAGATTTTTGGTAGTCTTGTAATGTACCTTCAAAATTAGGGATAAAGCACCCTGCCCCACCCTGTATAAAGCAATTTAATCTATCTAAGCTATGTTCTACATTCCAAACCAAGGCATTTAGTGTTGCCTTGTTTCAGTGAAATATCATAATCAATGAAATAAAATGATTTGTAAAGGTTGGAACCTTTGACCGTTGACAGAACTTCAGTATCCAATAGTCAATGTTGTAACCTATTAAAATCCTTCAATAGTGATTGCTGCTTAAAAGTAGACAGATGATTAGCATTATGTTGCTAAGCAACCAAAACAAATCAAGCTCAAGTCAAAACAAATAAAATTTAAGTTTCTAAATTAATACGTGTGATCTATACAAGACAAGGTAAGCAATAATTATAATTTAGTTATTTCATAAAAACATTTCAACAAATGATTAAATTGTCATCCAACAGAATGATTAGGCTAGGCTGAATCAATAATAATAACAATGTAATACAATTTTATTGTACACCTTTTGATGGAAGTGAATTACTGTACTGAAATACAATTTACTAAGTTATAAGTACATCGACTTAAAGTTTGGTCATCTGGTTGTGTAGACACTAAATTAATGTGCTTTTAACTATCTATCTTTCCTTTTGGTTTCTTGTAATTCTATAGTTGTTAAACCAACATAAACCCTTCATTTTTAAAGTTAGTTACCTGATGTCTTGCATTAGATATGGCCCAAGCCCCTCCTTTCCGACCCGGTGCTCCAGGAGGACCTCCCATGATGCCCCCAGGACCCCTTGGTGGCCCAGGAGTTCCGGGTGGCCCAGGGATGCCTCCACCTCCCATGGGACAACCACATCCTGGCTATCCTGGAATGAGGCACAGTTCTTTTGAACCTTACCCTGTACAACCTGTGGGCGATGGTGGTAGCAAAAAGGTAACCTAATTGGTTTATTTTATATTCTAGCTGAAAATAATTATTGACTACATTACGCTATATACAGTTTTATATGCTGCTTTGAGCTGTTTACAGTTTTTAAATAATGTAACATAATACAAAATACATTACATTTATTTGGTATATTTAAAATTTTGTAACTTGTATTAATGTTATTGGTTAAATATTAATGTGTCCAAGCATAGTATAAAATTGAACACTTAACTTGCTCTTTTATAACCCAGAACATTAGATGAATAGCTAATATTTTACATTTATTAATGCAGTAGACATTTCCAGGGAAAGAAAGGTAAAAAGAAATTAAATGAGGATTCAGACGCAGAGGATGAAGAATGCAAATGTCCTCCCCAGCAACCATCCACACAGATCTTCATCTGTCCACCAGGATGTCATCCCCCTAGCATGGGAATGGGAATCGGAGCACAACCAGGGATTTGCGGACAGGAGTGTGGATCTGGTTCCCCATTTTTACAACAACAAAACCAAATTGAGTAAGTGAACGCAAAGTTGTAGCTTCAAACTATAATACCACTCATAATTAAATTAAAATGTAAGATTCTCAATATCAACTGTTCGTTGAAAAACTCATACCTATGTCACAAGATAAGGTAAACTACTATTGTACTATTGTAAACGACTATTGTAATTTAAATATCTAGTGCATTTGAGATCATAAATTTCCTTTATAGCTTTGTAATTGTTTTCCAAGGGACTCCATGGAGGCTAACGGCCATCTTGAATTTGCCCACCATAAGAGGAATGTTATATTTATTAATTCAAAACAGCTACTGAAGAGTTATTTACCATCTCAAAAGTTTTTTTTGAATACCAAAGTGATTGTAATTTAAATATCTAGAGCGCTGTGAAATTAGAAATTTTCTTTCTACTTTTTAAATTTTTTATGTGTAATAACGTAGACTATGACTTATTATTCAAACAAATTTTACAGTGCCTCGAAGTTGTGTCAGATCCAGTGCTATGGTGGAGGCAAACCAGAAGATGAGAAGCAAACCCAGGTTATCTGTTGTCCACCCAACTCCTGCAGAGGGTGCCAACGAAAGGGACAGCAGCGACCAAGGAATCAGGGGAACGAGTGCCAGTGCTGCGGCCAGGAGTGTCCGACAAGGAAGTCCAAGAAGCCTCAGACAGGAAATATGGAGGGCATGATGCCAGCAAGCCAGCAATTCCTCATGTTCTTGCAGGCCTATGGTCTGGCTGCGGCCCTAATCCGCGATAGGAATCGCCGGGAAGACGAGCGACAGCAGAAGGAGTTTGATGAGAAACGTAGGAGAAGTTCAAGCAAGAGCAAGGATAGAAAAGGGTCGGCAAAGGGGAAAGAGAAGGGCCAGAAGAAAAAGAAAGAGTAATGTTTAATTAAGAATAAAATATTGATGAGGGTCAAACTAGCTTTTTTATTTAATATTTTGCTAAACTTACTATTAATTTCTGAATTTGAAGAATACTTCATCAATAACAGACAAATTCTGTAACGTGATCAATATAGTTTTATGAAATAGTGAAATAGTGTCATGGTTAGCAATAAATAGCTTTAAATCGCAAAAAGACTGAATTATAATACAAAAAATAAATGAGCATACAAAAAATAGTACTATGTCTTCCTAAAAAAAGTCTTCTTAAACAAGTCTTCCAAAGAGCCTTATTATGCGCGGCCACTCGAGTGGCTCGCAACCGCGACTGCTCAGTCGCTTGGGGTGGCCACAGATGTGGCTAGGGGACAAGTGTGGTGAGGTCGCGCGTTTGACCGAATGTTACAGACTTTTATGTAGTTTCTCAGTGTGAATTGAATGATGTAGTCGTCAAGTAAGGAAGATTGACTATTTCTACTACTTTTACTCACCAAACAAATTCTATTTCAGCTAAGGAGAGGCTAGCACGTTCCTTAAATTAAATAAATAGTTTTTACATTAATATAACCATAATTAGTTACAATAATATAATAAAATACCTCCGCCGCAGCAAACCTGCAGACTAGGCTAATGTCCATTTTCCTGGCTGGATTTCTAAAATATTCCCTTTGTCAGATTTATTTCCTTTTAAATAATATTAATTTTGAAGAGTACTTAGGTTTGCTACTGCAGGGAAGATATTGTGTTGTTATTTTTATTTATTGAAATGTTGATAGCTTAGTATGAAATAAACAAAATGGCCAAATTTGATTAAAATATATCCATAAGTTCATAGACAAAAAGAATTATAAGTTACACGCAAAGTACAACAGTTTATTTATTCGTCATAAGAATAAAATGGGAATTTTAAATTTACAATCTTTTAACTATCTCCATAACCGTTAGGGATACAGCAACGCTTCAATTTATAAAAATATTTCTTTTTTTAATCTCTTCAAAATGGTTTGGGAAGAAATTTTGTGTTTTTAGGGTCGAAAATGGGAAAAATTTACCTTTATAAAACAATGTTTACCTTATAACACCCCCCCCCCCCCCATAAACCCCCGTTCCCTTAGTTCGATCATGTTGGTTCGCGAACTCGTATGAATAGATGTATGTTGACACGTTTTTACCAAACTTAATCAACATCAGATCATTTTTACTCGATTTATTAAATGAATTTTAACGGAGGGTATTTTGGCCTCTGTGAACCTCTAAATGAAAAAGGAAATCGGTCCCAGGTCTAGATCTTACACTACGGTAATAGTGTTAATAGTGTTTCCCTATATGGGAAATTCGCTAGTAAATATAATCGCTTTGACACAAAAATCGTGACTGAGGCGTGGTAGGGTGAGTGGGGGGGGGGGGGGGGGTAGTCCAGGAGCTGAGGGGGGTTGAGCATGCATGAAAGTAGTACGCAATGTTATTGCTGATTATTGTAATATGGACTGTGGTGATCAAAATTACGTATGTCGCCTATTTCAAAAGTGGCCGATAAGGTCCCCACCATCCATTGAACGTATAAAAATATACAAATATAAAAGAGGTCGTGTTTTACATTTTAAACCATATGTATTCGTAATAATATATTTTTTTCTTATAAGAAAATGCATCTAGTTAATATTTAGCCTAGTAATTAAGTAATTACACAATTTTTTATCAACAATTCATATGATTTTTGAAGAAAATAGCTGTATAATGTAGATTTTGTTAAACTTATTATTGTTATAACTTTGTTATTAGTTAAGATACAACTTTTTACCCAATAACATTTTCTATTGGCCATATTTTTTGGATTAAAACTACGTTTTAACCGATGTCCTATCTCCTACCGTTATCGGGGTACAGTCGTTTCAATGCATAGCGCGTTCCGCCATCTTTGCCCCCCTCCCCACAAGTTCTCGACCACCTGAAAAGTAGGCGACATGCGTATTTCTTATCACCACAGTCCATATTGCAACTATCAGCAAAGATATTTGATATTACTTCTTTGCGACACTCACAAATTAATTATACTTTCGGTAAAAAAACTACACGAAAAGTCCATTTTTACATATTGTATACAATAACTTGTTTATTTATAGAGATACGACCTCGGAATCAATAACCATTATTGTAGTCCACATTTTTAGAATTACAACGACGTTTTAACCGATGTTCTATCTTTTACAGTTTTCGAAATATCAGCGTTTTAACGCATAGCGCAAACCGCCATGTTTGCCCCCTCCCCCCCACCTTATCGACCACTTTTGAAATAGGCAACATACGTAATTTTGATCACCACAGTCCATATTACAATAATCAGCAATAACATTGCGTACTACTTTCATGCATGCTCAACCCCCCTCAGCTCCTGGACTAGGGGGGGTGCGCTGTGACCCGTGACTGTGGCTGCGCGTAATAAGCAGCATATTATGAGAACATGGCCCGCTGGTGGTGCGACAGTCGGGATATCGGATTTTTATCCCCCTGGAATTTTACCCCCTGGGCAAACGTGTCGTCACAAACCAGGGGGTAAAATCGAACTTTTGAGTTTCGCGACATCAGCTCGATGTATTAAACGCGGAATTAAACATATATTTTCACGGTTGTGAATTTAATCAGAACACATCTAATTATAAAAACCTAGAGTGTACGGCCCGGATTTTTACCCCTGTAATTTTACCCCCTTAATTTTAATTTTGACAAAGGTCCTTATCGCCCTTTTTATAGATTGGAGTTACTTTTGAAAATTTTACTTTTGAAAATTTTAAGTAGATCAGGAAAATAACCATTACGGAGGCAACTATTAAATACAGTAGAGAGGGGTGTAGAAATGTAGTGTATAGTATTCTTGATTATATAATTAATTTGAAAGCCAAAAGTGTTCCATGGTTTTTGAATTTGAAAATTTTGAAACTGTCTTTATTACCTCGTCTCGTCTGGTGTGATTGGTGTCCATTTACATTTGGAAATGTTGTCCAATTGTTTTTTGAATTCCAGCAGATTACTGGGTGTGTTTTGGGTTTGGCCAACTTGGTTGACCAGTTCCTCAACAGAATCTGTAAAATATGTGTTTAGTTCATTAGGGTCAAGTGTTACATGAGATGTGCGTGTGGTGGTATTTTCTTGTGTTATTATATCTCAGGCTGCCTTACATTTGTTTTTGGAATTGTTAATATATTTTTCACAGGCTGATTTTTTAGCAAGGGTTAAGTCCTTCCTATATTGTTTTTTCAAGTTATTATAAATATTGTAAGCTGCCTGAGCCTTTACAGAATTAATTTTTAAAAGATTCTTGTACAAGGAATTATAAGCTAGCATGGTTTCCCTACTTTTCCTTAAACTATCATTGTACCAATTAAATCTATTTTTCTTTATAAGAGTCCTACTATCAGATCTAGGTTTCTTCTTTACAAGTGGGGAGCAATAATACCAAAGGTCAACAAATTGATTTAAAAAACTATTGAATAAAGTTTCTGAGTTATTCCACGGCCGCCTTTAACTATTCTCATTGTCCACAAATGTTTTGCCAGGACTCATTTTGTAAGGCCTCACAAAAAAGATTAAGATTTTGTTTATTTTGTTTCCTGACAAACAATGTAGGTTGATTTGCATTTTGAGTATTTGTGGATGATGGTTTACAATATTTAAAAAGCAACGGGTCATGATCAGCCAAAGCACCTTGCAGAACTGAAATTGTATATAGATCTTGAGTAAAATTGACTAGGACATTATCTAAACAGGCGTAGTTTCTTGTTGGGAGTTTATTGCTACCTACAAGGTCAAGTGACCTCAGTAAATTCTTGAAATTAATTGAGATTTGCTCATCTTGTTTTGCCATTTCAATATTATTCAATCCCCACAGACTATTATTACTTTTTTACCCAAGCTAAGAACATATTTCATTGCCTCTTTAAATTGAACAAAAAAAGTGGGCAAGTCACCATTCGGTGACCTATACAATCTTACTACAATCAAATTTTCATTGGTGAGCTTTATACGACAAATTTCACAATGTAATTCAGAGGAAAACCTATTGAGATAAATTTGTTGGTAATGACAGTCTTTTTTAACATATATAGCTGAGCCTCCGTTCTTAAAATTAGTTCTACATACAATGCTTGCCAAATCAAAATTCTGTAGAATAAACATATATCTATAAGTATAAAAGAGGATGTTTGTATATATATATATTTGTTTGGCAGTCATAAACTCAGACACCGCTGAACCGATTGCCACGAAACTTGGTACATACGTGACGTGTAGAATTTCATGGAATATGTTTATACACCATCAATTTCGTGATCCGTCCAAACGGCTCCGCCCTATATGGATGGAATGGAAAAGTATAACTAATGAATGGAAAAGTTAAATGCCTCTTGTACAGTCGAATTGAAAAATTTCAATCTTTATCGTCATTACTTACATGATCATTTCTACATATGTTTCTGCTAAAAGTATTACAATTTTGCGAAATTTTGCGAAATTTTAGTGAATTTCCCCTATAGGGAATAAGCTATTACCGTAGTACTCATGGTAAGACCTGGACCCGGGACCGATTTACTTTTTCGTTTTGAGGTCCCTAGAGACCAAAACACCATCCGTTCAAATTCATATATATTTATATATATATCCTACTAATATTATAAATGAGAAAGTTTGGATGTATGTATGGATGTATGTTTGTGACAAGTGAACGCGAAAAATAATGGTCGGATTGGGCTGAAATTTGGCATGATGATAGCTCACATTCCCGATTAACATATAGGCATATTCTTATTTCAAAAATCCTTTCGGGCTCCGCCCCATTGGCTCTGGAGTTTCCCACGTTAACCTTAGTACCTGGGGACCGAGCTTTGCTCGGGGAAAATCATAAGTTCACTCTGAAAGCAGTGTTAGTATTGGAAATACATAAATCCATTCCCAAACTCCACACGGTTCGCCTTTACTACGTCCTACACCATTTCCTACGTCATGGACCTGTTTCCCTGCATTCCTATAGCACTTTGGGATTGTAGATACCTTAATCTAATCGTTATTAACAGATCCCACACTCCGGACAGCTCGCCTTGACTACTTCCTTCACCACTTCCTACGTCGCAAACCTGTTTCCCTGCATTCCCATTACATTTAAAGATTGGAGATACCTTAATCTAATCGTCATAAACAGTTCCCACACTCCGGACAGCTCGCCTTGACTACTTCCTTCACCACTTCCTACGTCACGGACCTGTTTCCCTCCCTTCCCATAGCATTTTAGGATTGCATATACCTTAATCTAATCGTCATAAACAGTTCCCACACTCCGGACAGCTCGCCTTGACTACTTCCTTCACCACTTCCTACGTCGTGGACCTGTTTTCCTCCCTTCCCATAGCATTTTAGGATTGCTCATACCCTTATCTAATCGTCATAAACAGTTCCCACACTCCGGACAGCTCACCTTGACTACTTCCTTCACCACTTCCTACGTCGTAGACCTGTTTTCCTCCCTTCCCATAGCATTTTAGGATTGCCCATACCCTTATCTAATCGTCATAAACAGTTCCCACACTCCGGACAGCTCGCCTTGACTACTTCCTTCGCCACTTCCTACATCACGGACCTGTTTCCCTCCCTTCCCATAGCATTTTAGGATTGCCCATACCCTTATCTAATCGTCATAAACAGTTCCCACATTCCGGACAGCTCACTTTGACTACTTACTTCACCACTTCCTACGTCGCGGACCTGTTTTCGTTCCTTCCCATAGCATTTTAGTATTGCAGTCACCTTAATCTAATCAACATAAACAGTCCCCACACTCCGGACTATACTCGCCTTGACTACTTCCTTCACCACTTCCTACGTCGCGGACCTGTTTCCCTCCCTTCTTATAGCATTTTAGGATTGCAGATACCCTAATCTTATCGTCATAAACAGTCCCCACACTCCGGACTGCTTGCCTTTACTACTTCCTTCATCACTTCCTACGTCACGGACCTGTTTCCCTCCATTCCGATATTATTTTATGATTGCCTTTACTACTTCCTTTACCACTTCCTACGACGCAGACCTGTTTCCTTCCCTTCCCATAGCATTTTAAGATTGCAGATACCTTAATCTATTCGTCATAAACAGATTCCAGACTTCGCACTGCTACCCTTGACTACAATGTATCGAGTAATCTTCAGTATAATCTTTGCTAAATATTAACAAGTGATGTTTTTCCTTTTGTACTGTATTTGTAATTTGCTAGTATACTGTGGGTAGTTGGCTTATTATGAACACATGCTACAACTTCTAGTATTTTGTTTACTTTTTCCTTGTTATTTAATTCAGCCAACATGGTTACCTAGCAACCCATAAGACTAATGTTAAAAAAATGTGATTTTCAGTTTCATTTTTCTACGTAATTAGATTTTTGTTGGCAGTTCTAACTGCAGTAAACTCGTTTTTAGGCCAGAAATAAACTATTTACAACATTTGAAGAAAATCGTCGGAGCCGTTTTCGAGATCTTGTTTGCAAGCAAGCATACATACATACATACAAGCAAACATTGCTCGTATTAGAGTATAGGATGAGAAATGGAATTAATGAATCTTAACAGCTGTTTCAATTAAACAAGTTGGTTCTGTTCTATGATGTTCAATAGCATTAAAGTTACAAGGATTACCAACAGGGTGCAGCACTATTATTTCTTTTACATTTATGACAACAACTACTTTGCAACCAAAAGGTGAGTGAGCATAGCGAAAGCGAACGAACTTCAACCCGGAGGCGAGTTAGCGTAGTGAACGTGCTAACCTGAAGGCAAGTGAGCGTAGCGAACGAGATAACCTGAAGGCAAGTAAGCGCAGCGAACGAGCTCCAACTAAAGGTGAGTGAGCGTAGCGAACGAGCTCCAACCTAAAGGTGAGTAAGCGTAGCGAACGAACTTCATCCAGGACGTGATTGAGCCATGCGAACATGCGAACGAGATCATCTTGAAAATTAAAAGTTAAACGGGGCAAAGCCACGGCCGCCTTTGGCAAAGCACGCGGGTTACAGCTAGTATATATATATATATATATATATATAAATATATATATATTATGTAATATTACTTGAAACGTAGCCTCATTATTATAGAATTGACTATAGAAACCTATAAGTTCTTATGCAAATAATCAATGATCACAATTAATATTTATTGTTCTACTTTTACACTGCTATACAAATTTCATTATGGCGGACTCTATTGCGATTGAGATTGAGATTGAGAACGTACGTACGTAAACGCGTTCGGGTTCGGCGGACAACGGACAACAAACTCGTAGGAAATAGGAATTGTTATTGTTGGTTTGTTTTTCCCTAATCGGCCTAATCCCTCTATTTGTTTCTTGTAGATTCATAGAAGTGAACTTGAAGTGAGGTTGTGTAAATTTTGATTATTTGTTATGCTTGTGGCGTTGATAGTTATTTGCTATGGTTCTTGGAACCCTAACCTAAATGAAAAGTTACAAGTTTGATCATTGATCAACTGCAGTTTTATATTGACTTAGGCCTATATAAACTGAAAGTGGTGTTTTATTAGACTATCCTAGTTTACGTTTACGGTACTCTAGATAGGACCAGGCCTTCTAGCTATAAAATAGGCCTATATTGAGATCGCATCTTTAACAACAAAAACCTACAAAAATGTTTATCAAACAAGTAAGAATCTATCAGTTTTATGATGACTGATTTAATCTAATTTGTAATCATTAGTACCTAGGCCTAGGCCCTATAATTATTCTAGCATAGGCCTAGGCCCGTTTAGACATTAAGTTAGTGTAAGCATAAGAATAAATGGGTAGGCCTAAGTTACAGTTTCTTAACTGGGCTATGCTAATCGATTGAAACTATCAAATCGGAAGTATTGTAGGCCTTGGCTATAATAAAATACATTTTTATTTCATTCTAAAACATCAACATTTTTGAAAAAAAATTGTTTTAAATGTTGCTGCCCTCTTGCAGCAAACCTAAGTAGGCCTACTCGTTAAACTATATTTAATTTAAATAGGGAATAAATGTAATATTTTTAAGGAGATTCTATTATTACATTTTTCCTTTTAAATGTATAACTTAGTTCTTCCCAAGCATTCATTACATTTTCCCTAATCAGTGGCCATTTCCTAACAATTGTTGTCCAACCTTTGATATTTCCGGTTTTTTCTTTCTCCATGCAGAAATATGGTTTTTGAAACATTTAAGTACCGTAATAAAGTTTCAGTCTGTCCATGATCACAATTAACACACCCTGTAATATTTACATAAACCTAAGTTACACGTTGGTATTTTTTAAATAGGCCTAATTTGTTATATTTTCAGGTAATCATACATGGCTTCAAAAGTTACAGAGAACAAACTGTTGTTGAACCATTTGATCCTCGGCACAATGTTGTTGGTAAGTTAATCCAACTTGTTTTATTTTAGACTCAGTCCAACCGTCCTTTTCCAACTTGGTTGATTATATAATTGCTAACAAATATGACCTTGTAGTGTCTATCAAGTACCTCCTAACACTAGGCCTATTGGTCAAAGTTTTTAGTAGCCTACATAAAGGTAATTCAACATAGGCTTAAAATCTTTCATTTATCCCCTCAGTATATGGGGCCAAAAATTTACAATAAATTACCCGCTGGGATTAAAAACATTGTCTCATTCTCTAAATTTAAACTATCTTTAAAAATGTCCTTTTGGAGAGGGCATTTTACTCGTTAGAAGAATATCTGGAAAATGAGTATATTTGAAAGATATTGCCTCTCCCATAGGTTTGTAGCTTATTATTTGCTTTAATTCTTTTCTAAGCTCTTTTCTTATTTAAAATGTAGTATAGTACGAGGTGTTAGCCCGTCCTACGTACGGTAGTAGTCAGTTAAAACGGTGTAGTCCTATAATTCAGAACAGCTAGTTTACACGTATAAAGACAAATTTTATTGCAGCCTACAGTAGAAAGAGTAATTATCAATTGAGAAGTGTATAGGCCTAGTCAATGATATCACCTTCCATCGCATACCTACCTCTTCCATAATCAATATCACCACAATACAATAATTACTCATACTATACACAATTTCCAGTACCTAGGTCTGAATTGAAACTCCCTAAAATAAAACGAAAACATCCAATAAAATTCAAAATACACATAATTATAACGTTGGTGTCCTGACATCACTAAACAAATCGTCCACACACACATCCTTTACAGGGCCGCGTTAAGGGTCAGTGGCGCCCTGGGCAAACCCAAAAGCAGCACCCCCCTTATATATATATATATATATATATATATTGTATAACTATAAAGGTTTTGACCACTGCGGTGTAGGGAGGGGAAGAGGGAAGGAGGGTTGACTCATTAGTTCGCCGAAATTCACAGCAGGTGGGTTGGGGGTTGGGGTGAGTGCAATGAACTTGACAGTAGTTGCTATGCGATGCGAATGCCTCTTGCCCTGCGCCGATAGCTTAATGCACTACGCAGTGATTTGATTACTGTTCAGTACAGTACAGTGTGCAGTTCATTGCATTATACACGTATTGAACGAGATTCTACTAAGGGAGTATGTTTCTTCCATGGTTCTACTATAGGCTTATACATATATATATTTATACATTAGCGTGTTTTTTTAACAGTTTTGTTTCGGGAAGGAGTTTTCAATTCCGTATCAGTGGAAATACTGGTTAATACATTTCACTTTCTTTAAAACTGCTTCTTGAGTTTGTTTTCTTTGAGCCAACCGCTTGCGGCTCTCGGCTCCACTAGGTTTTTTATGCTTTTTTATAGGCCTACTTACTTGTATCAACACTTCTCTATTTATTTATTACTGGTTCACTTACTGCAGTGTGAGTGTCAACACTGACTAGTGACTGTCACAGTTTAGGTTGTGTTGTGACTGATTTGACGACTGTGAAACAGGCACAACACGAACACAACCTAGTGACTACTGAGGGAGGAGTACTGCTGTACTGGACTGGCGCCGCGCGGTAGTTGGTAGTGTTGGTAGTTGTGACTTGTGGGATTGGGAGGGATATGAGGTGCACGTCAACCATAGACCTAAGGCCTGTAGACTACAGCTGGCCTACGTGCTATTCCCGTAATTTGCTGACGTCGCCCAAATTGCAAACAAAAAATCAGCTGATGTATTAACATATAAGTATATATTATTTGTTTTGTTTTGATTTTTATTGTTTTTATAATTTTTCTCAATGGTAAAATGGTGTTTGCAATCTGAGTGACGTCAGCATAATATGACGGGAATAGCACATCGTATTTTCCTTCCACCATGCAGGCCTCCCTGCCTCTGATATTATAGTGAGTGCGCCCGGTTCACACTGCTGTCTGCCTTTCCCTGACTACACGAGGTATAACCTGAAGCAAAGAAAACATATACTACTAGTAGTATGTGCCTGAAGGTCGAGTATTTTCAATTTTGTTGTATTTATTTACTTTTGCAATAAGGGAAAATCACTTAACTACAAGTTGAAATCGCCCTTTTTATTTTTGAAATCCCGGCTGATAAAACCCTATTTTTCCTAGTGCGGGCGGTGGTTCAGGGCGCTCCTCGGGCGCCCCCCAACCGCCGGCGCCCCTGGGCATATGCCCAGTCTGCCCGTTTATAAAAGTGGGCCTGAGGGGGGGTGACTGGCTCACACAACTACATGTTTTTTGTTGTTTTTTTTTATAAAAAAAATGGCGAAAGCTGATCCATTGAGGTGGGATGTCTATTTCAGTATCCAATAGTCAATATGTGTACATTACATGTTTTTGGTCGAGTTTTCAACCACTGGACGACCACTAGTATTTTTTTAAAAAGAGTTATTATGTTTTTGACCTAAATTTTGACATTATGACGATATTCTTGAACCAATGTTTATTTCTCTCGCAAACTAATTAGTAGTCCTTTGAATTTTATAGATTAGCGATCCTCTGGCTACGTGTGGTGATGTGATTGTATTCATGGGGATGATTCATTAAAGAGCAACAACTATTTCTTTGTTCAACAGCTAATGGAATATGATTAGTTTTAACATTAACTTTCAAATAAAATCAAACTTTATTGTTTCAAAAAGTTTGTTTATAGCATAGCTAAAAAACGGGTGACGTTTTCAAAGAATGATAAAAATATAAAACTTAAATTTTCAATCTTACATTTTAAAATAAAAAAATAAAGTAGTGGGTAACTTTCATTTCAAAAGTAGTTTACAATAAATGTTTTTCACAAACATCTTGACCAATTATTTTTAAATGTCATTGTATTGGCTATATATTTTAAATCTACTGGTAACTTATTGTACAGCTTTATTCCCATGTATGTTGTTGGTGTCTTTTCAACATTACTTTTAAACCTTGTACTATATCTGTGGTCGAAATTGTCATTTAAAAAAATTCATAAGTTAGATTGTATTATTTACTATGGTTTTGAATACAGTACGTATAAATTACAGTGATTTACAATTGTATTTTTAGGTTTAGATTGAGTTGACAATGTCACCAGTTTAATAGCTTTGCTATGTCAAATGTTTTTATGTGACAATAAAGTAAATTTGAATTTAACCTCATCTTAAATAACCCAACCTAACCTAACCTATCCTATCCTAAGCATTCCTAAAATTGCGGTGGGGCACACGGGAGGGACTAAGGCTGATCTTGTAGTGTCAGCGTTCGCCGCTAAAACCGCTAAGTTGAAAAAATTTAATTTAATTTTTATTTTTAGTTATAAAATTAACTTTTTAATTATAAAATATTGTTTTAAAATTATAAAATAATTTTTTAATTTTTAAAATAATACTGTCATAACATAACCTAACCAACCAGACTTGCTGATAATATAAATACCCCCGCCGCAGCAAACCTGACGCCTAAGCGAATTTCCATTTGGCTGAATTGATTTTCAATTGATCTATTTAAATAACATTAGGTTTAAGGAGTACCTAGGTTTGCTGCTACAAGGAAACTAATAAAGTGTGTGTTTTAAGTAAAATAATTATTGCTTAGTATAAAATGAATATATATTCCAAGTTTGATCAAAAGATATCCATAAACAAGCAAACTACAACATTTTACAATATTCTCCATAAGAATAACATGGGAATTTTAAATTTACCATTTTTTTAGTTTTCTCCGTAACCAATAACCGTACAAAAACACTTTGATATACTGAATTGTTTGTTTTTTTAAGCTTTTTAAGAAGGTTTAGAGAAAAATTGGGAAATTTTGTGTTTTGAGGGTCAAAAGTGAGAAAAACCAATTTTTACCCCATAAAACCCCCCATAAAACCCCCCATAAAACCCTGTTCCCATGGTCCGATCATACTGGATCGCGAACTCATTCAAGTTTATCCCGCCTTACACCTTCAAACCAAATTTCATCAGAATCGGATAAAAATTACTCAAGTTATCGTGTTCACGGACACATATATATATATATATATATATATATATATACATATATAAAAATTTGAACGAGTGGTGTTTTTGGCCTCTGGGGACATCAAAATGAAAAAGTAAATCGGTCCCGGGCCTAAGTCTTACCATGAGACCTACGGTAATAGCTACTTCCCTATAGGGAAATTCGCTAAAACTGTACAAGATTCAAATCTAATTAATGATTACTTATAATTTTTAATTAATTATAAAATTAATTAAAAAATTTAGTATTATAAAACTAAACTGTCATAACCTAACCTAACCAACCAAACTTGCTGATATGAAAAATTTGTTGACAAAAAGTTAGTGCTACCAGCGGGATTCGAACCCAGGACCTCCTGAACACCAAATCGAAACGCTACTAACTATGCCACGAACGCCACTGAAAACACATCGTTTTGTTACGGTAATCGTGTTGTCTCAAGAGTAGACATTAGCCACTAGAGATATGACGTCACTACACCTTTAGCCTTAGTCCCTCCCGTGTGCCCATTCCCTAAAATTGTGCTAGTAAAATGAGAGACATGAGAGTTAGTTGCATTATTCAACCCCTCCCCTTCAACTCTGGCGTCGCAATGCAACTCTCTTTTTTTAAACATTTTACAAAATATAGGTTTGTGCCCAAGGTTTAAATTCCACAAGGTCTAAAACCGTAACAGTGGATAAGTTTTCTTCATTGACTGTACTTTTAGGCCTTCCGGGATTTAGACCTTCAGAAACACTCCCAGAATTACTCAGTACCAGCAGTATCACTTTATAACAGGCTGAATTTAATTTACTAATAATATTTAAAATACAGCTATCCCAAGAAAGATTAATATCCAGTTTCATACTGAGGAATTTTGCACTACCAGTAGTTGGTATAAACTGGTCCTAAAAGATTATTTCTGAATTATATCCTTCTTTTAACTGTGCAGCATGAGAATTAAAAAATAGAGTTTCATCTTGATTTAGTTTTGGTCCTTTAACCTCAAACCAGCTTGCCGATTCAAAGAAAGTTTGATTTAACTGCAGTTGGGTCATCTGATTATAAGATAACTTTCCTGCACCTGCTCAGTTAGATTTTATTTTAAACTTACTTGGTTGTTCTATTTAAAATAATTAAGCCATATTGAAAATGTTCATATTGTCTATGAAGTTTTTTTTTCTAAATATTGCATAATTTTCATTTATGTGTACGACCGACCTCTTAGCCTATAGATTTCTAGATGATAAACTCTGGTTTTGTACCTGTTTTATCATTTATTTGTATTGTGTTACAGTTGGACGGAATGGGTCTGGAAAAAGTAACTTCTTCTATGGTAAGTATATGCTGGGACATTTATACCAAAGTAATAATTATATATATTCAGTAGAGGTTTCAAAACTAAGATGATTAAAACCTGATGATATTTTCAGCATCACCAAGTTAACTTACAACAAGTTAAGCAACGGTTGTTAACTTACTGTATGGTAGATGTCAACTCATACCAAAACCGAGGTTGAAAAATGAGCGAGGATCAAAAAGAAACTTATGGCACGTGTAGTAAACTACATTTTTCGTCATACTGAACAATTCTCTATTTATAGTAGCCTACACACCTAATTATCCGAGGTCATTATAGGCCTAAATACATTTTTTTCAATAAGAAACATTAATTACTTTCTGAAATAGTATGTTCCTGCCCAAAGAAAAGTAAAAAAAATAAGTAGGTAGGCCCTACTTGAGATTTTAAAATGAATACAGTAGACTCCCTCTAGTTCGGCCACCTCGGGACCGGACCACTGGCTAGACTACAAAACGGCCGGAGTAACCGGATTTAGTACATTTTACATAATCAAATTACAAATAATAGTATTGCGCAATCGTGATATGTTAAGTCATTAACCTTGGTTCAATAATAAAAACTGTAACGTTTAAAATCACGCTTACTCAAGCAAAACAAAACTTACACAACACTGTGCGTACAGCAATAAATCTCGTAAAGAACAGAACAATAGAAAGTCTAGTACTGCAAGCTACTGCTACAATAGTCAGCATAGGCTACTACTATATGTTGTTTCAGAACATAATGTTGATAAAAACATTAAATAACTCATAAAACAGCATAAAATCATAGTACTTAGTCTTAAAGATAATAACGACAGTCGTAAAATAGGATAAAGATAACAATGGATGACTAAAATACCGCTTATTCTTTGTTCTTCTATTCTTTCTTTGGTTTCTCTTCATCCACACATTCAACAAGTTGCCCTGGACTAATCACCCAATCACAAACTGTTGTGTGATAGCAAGCGCACAGCAGACATCAGTTGTGTAAAGAGCAGATGATTGTCAGTGCAAGCGGATAGCTTGACCTTGAAGCTAAGGATGGCTATTTCTTTGTTTTGCTTTAATTTCTTTTTGTCAAATAAACCATGGTGTTTCAAAAACAATAATGGGCGAACCTACCATATAAAAAAATGGTCCGAAATATTTAATTATACACTGCATTTCAACATATTAGGCTGAAGAAAAACTATTTATTAATGTTTTTGGTATTTTTAAGGTTATGTAAACACGACACTAGCAAGAAACATTTATGGTAACTATTTATGTTAGCATCGTCTTTTTTCATGTTTGTGTTGTGCTTAAATGTTTATTATACCAAGTTTCATAAACATCGGTTGGAAAAATGCAAAGAAAAATATTTGTATGTAAAAAATACAAAATGGCGGATATCTGGTTAACGAAACGATTTTGGAAAAAATGTTATCCTTGATTTTCTGTTTATTTTGACCCAAGGAATTACTAGGTAAAGTATCTCCCCGCTTATTTTTAACACCCTGTTTATGATGTATTCTTATTAATATAAGTGAAAAATGTAAGCTGGTAATACAGAAAGATGTTTTATAAATAATATGAATGTACTGGTGATCTGTATATTCATCTTTTTCTTGTCCTTAGAACTGTAAATTAAAAGTCCACTCAGCAGTCGCATCGTACGATGTAGTTCTTTCCATGCGTTGTGAAATGCTAAATTTGCCGTCCTCTTCAACCCAAGTTATCTATTGAACCACTGATTGTAAAAAATAAAAATAAAATATATATTTTACGCATCACGCTTTTGGCTACAACTTAGCCACAGACAAAACCTCTCTAACCCAAAAACAAATAAAAAATATCGCATGCTAACTTTTTCATGTTAGAAATCACGATTTAAAACTATTTCACCATACATATCAATTTTTATTAATTAGATCGGTAAATAGTTTAAAGTTCCAACAAAATAGCCATCAAGTAGGACTAACCAAGAAGCTCTGTGCAAATTTTCAAAATTTTAGCACAACTTTAAGTACACCAAAACACGAAAGTATTGAAGTCATGTATTTCTGGGAAATACTCAAAAAAGGCAGCCTAAAGTTAGCTACAAATATAAACTTGGACATATAAACTTGGAAAAAAATGTGTTTTAAATGTAATATTGTTTATTTTTATTGTTTTACCTCAAATATGTAATAAAATCAAACTTTCATAATTATTTGCAAATCTACACAAATTAGGCTTTCCAACGGCCCATTAAGTAACAAAATCAGTCCGGTAGAAGTCTAGATTTGGTTGTACAAAGTTTAACAAAAATATATCTAAATCAGTATTTTCTCACCACTATAAATTTGGAGATCACTTACATTATTGCCAATATCTTTTAAATGAAGGGAAAATCGACCAAAGTGGATGTGATATTCTGAAAGAAAATAAAATTTACTACAAATAACTACTATGCATTTCTTGAAAATGCTTAATAAAGGCAGCCAAAAGCTGGCTACAAATAGAAACTTGAAAACAGCAAATTGAAAAAAGCAGTTTTTTACTTTTTTACCACAAAGATTTGATAAAATTACACTTTCATAATTATTTGCAAATCTACATGAGTTGGGCTTTCCAATGACCCATTAATTAACAAAATCGGTTCCGTAGAAGTCTAGATTTAGTTGTACAATGTTTAACAAAAAAATTCCTAACTCTGTATTTTCTCATTACTATAAATTCGGAGGTTGTTTACATTTTTTGTAAATAACTTTTAAATGGTGAGGAAATCGACTAAAGTGGAAGGTGATATTCTGAAAGAGAATAAAATTTCCTACAAATTGATACCATACACTTCCTGGAAACAATAAAAAAAGGCAACAAAAAGTCTCACACAAATAAAAAGTGTGAAAAACACCGTTTTCAATGTATTTCTTATGGAAAACGTGTTTTTTTGAAATTGTTCAACAAAAACAAATTTTCATAATTATTTGCAAATCTACACAAATTAAGCTTTCCAACAACCCATTAATTAATAAAATCGGTCCAGTAGAACTCTGGATTTAGTTGTACAAAGATTTTCAAAACTGAATTATATATAGAATAGATGAGAGTGTTGTTATCAAGGTTTCACTGTAGCAGGTGGGGCCTATTTCAGCCTTTTTTAGTATTATTTGGCAATACGGAAATTTTTTTATTCACTACATATTTTTAAACTAATATTCTATAAGTGTTTGAATTCCTAGTGTGGTACCTTAACTCCTAACCTCAAAATCTATGTGACTTCCGTGTCATCCGAGCATCCAAGATTCTTGGTAACCGAGGTAGCCTCAGTCCCCACAGCATCGGTTGATTGGTAGTGTAGGCTACTGTACTTAAAAAAAACGTTGATTCTTTAGATTGTTTACTTTTAAAAATAAGCTCCCAAAATGGTTAATACTGAACTGATATAAATTGCAGAAATGGGCTTGTACACAGTACGATCCTACAGGAAAACTATTACATGGCTCACGTACATTTTGTTGGATTTTGCTATTGAATATTTTGTTTGGCAACATTAAATTTACATTTTTTACAAGTTATAAGTTGATGTCCATGACTCAAAGACTTACTTAAGCTGTGAAACAGGTGTTTTTGCTGCAGTACCACAGTGATGTGCCAGGTAGTATTAGTTAACCTATGTATTTGCTACAGCTATTCAGTTTGTGCTGAGTGATGAATTCTCACATCTCCGGCCAGAGCAGAGACAGGCCCTGCTACATGAAGGCACAGGACCCAGGGTCGTTACTGCATATGTTGAAATCATATTTGACAACACTGACAACCGGCTGCCTGTAAGTAAACAGATCCAAAACTGATTGAAAATTATATTTTACTAATAGTGTTAAACAATTCCTTTGAAAGTTGTCCACTATTTAAAGTCTCTTAACAAGCTCTAGTTGTGGCCAAGCCAGCTAGTTAAAATCTAGCACTAGTACCATGTACTTAACTTCCCCATTACTATTCTAGCTAGTTTCTGTACCTAAGTGACGATTAGTCTTTTAGTAGCCAAAAACCATGTGAGGAAAAGTCTCCGGTTCCTTCAAGTATGAATAGAACTGCTCAGTTTCAACAGAAAACATCGGTGTCTTAGATATTGCTTTATATAATTTTACACAGGAGATTCAAAAGTTAAGAATAAAAATGTAGAGAATGCCGCAACTGCGGTGTGACGTAACATTCTTTCTTATATTATTTACAAACAAATATAATAAATATAACTTTTTTACTTTTTTCATGTAAAGAACGATTTTCTAAAAGTTTTGTATATCTTGGATTTCTAAAAAAATCTTTTGTATTTTTCCCAAGCCTCTAGTTTGGAAAAATGTTACAGGGGCCCATTATCTTTTTTTTGTCTTACAAGTAAACCGTTCTACAAAATTTTTTTTGGTAATTAATAATGATACAACAAAATTATCGGCCTTAGAAATGGTAGGGATTGTCATTTGCTGAAGTCGCAGTTTAACTTGTGTGTGATGATTATAAATTGAAGCATGAAATGTTAGGACTTAGGATGAAATAAGACAACAGAATACCATGATTAATTTGGTTGAGGTTACAGATTATTTCTAGGTTTATTTACTATTGGAATGTTAGAATATACCCATTATTATCGAGCAGGGCTCGAATATTAGATTATTCATTCAACTATTCAAACTTTAAAAAATCTGCACACCCCTAATTTATTGCATAAATTTATAATAGCTAAAGCTTTAAAATTTTTCATTACTTTAGATCGAAAAAGATGAGATTGTTCTACGTCGAGTCATTGGTGCCAAAAAAGACCAATACTTCCTTAACAAAAAGATGGTGCCTCGCTCAGATGTCATGAACTTGCTGGAATCTGCAGGCTTTTCAAGGTCCAACCCCTACTACATTGTCAAACAAGGAAAGGTAATACATTTTATTATTCTACATTTTAATTAGGGATGAAAATTCTTATTCACACATTTTTTTACACCTTATCAATTTACCTACTAGGTGAAACCCGTCGAAATCGACGGTTACTTTCAAGGCTTACGTTAATTCATCTAACTGCGATAAATTGGGTGAAATATATATATTTTGAGCATTTAGCATTGTTTAAAGAGTAATAAGTGTAAAAACAATAATGATATTAATTGCCAAATTAGGTTGATCATTCAATGAATAAAATATTCCCCATACCGTGCGTCATCGGAGTTATTATTAGTATGTTATATGGTATATCTTCCTTTGGAAGAGCGTTTAAATAGTATTAAAACCGTATTGATGGATCTTTTGTAGTTAAACACTTTCGTGATTTCATCAGTGTTATATGATTTTATTTCAAAAGAAAATATTTTTTTGGGAAGACATATTCTAACTTCTAAGGGAGGTATATCCGTTACAGTGTAAGTTTGATTTTTCCTTTGTCACGTCGCGTCAGTTCATATCGTACTTCTGTGCCAATGAATGAACCCTCTATCATAGTTTTGAGAAATTATTGATTGTGGGGTTGCTGTTAAAGCTGGAGTTCCTTGACATGGGGGATGTCAGTTAGTTGTCTCAGCCTTATCAATAACATAAAGTTGTCAATATAATCTCTGTACGCCCTACGGAATGTTAGGTGTAGTGGAATACTTGAAGTGAAGTTGGCTTTTATTCTTGTACTGTTAGGGGCCTCCTCGTTAATATGGTCGTGCGGCTTCATAGGCAACAAATAATGCAAATGACATAGCAATGGGACATTTCCAAAAAGCAAAAATACTGTAAATTGGCTGTTACGTATATATTGACGTTTACATATTGTTAATCAACGTATCCTATAAAGGATTTTGTGATTTAGTTTAAAAGGAATATGACCTTTCTGTCATGACAGTAGCTGCTTAAATAGTATTTCCTCTTTGTACCATCTTTGTAATATAGGCAGGTGCAAATAATTTGTCAAGATGGGTACCATTTTAGATAAAGTTTCTATGTTTGGATTTTATTAGACACGATAAGATCAAATATTTTTACATAACTATTTGATATGTGTAGAATAATATGATAAAATGTAGGCAAAAGTGGTGAAAAAGGCAGACACCAACCCGTACAATAGATATAAGATAGTTCAATAAGAAATAATTTAAGAATTGTTGTGATAAAAGGATTTTCCACTGATTTCGTAATGGAACGTTATATTGCAAAACATGACATGATAAAGAAGAAAATCAATTTTAAAATCAGAAAATAATATTGCAAATACTTATTTGGTAGAATTCAGTAACTCCCAATAAATGTGTGTTGTTTGAAATACAATTTAAAAATGAACAGCTGTTTCATTAAAACGTATTGTTCACACGGCCTAAATGTAAACAACTCTGTGGAGGGATCTTTAAAGGCTTCTGGGGCAGGGTCTTAAGGGATTTTGATTAGTTTTTCTTTTGATAAATCATCTACAGACTAAGACCTTTCTTTGGACACCTCTACCAAGTTTCTTCCAGCCGTTCTCTCAAATTAGTGGGGACAAAGTTTCCTATTAAATATTTAGATTCCCCCATGTTAATCTTATGGGAGAAACTCCAACTTTGATGGCCTGTGGGGCAAACCCCGAGGATTTTTATTACAGGAATTGGTGAAAGGGGGCGTCTTCACAAAAAATACTTTGTTTTAACACGTCGTTTGTCAAAATCCGTCCACAATTAACGGAGGAGTAGTGTTAAGTAGAAATCGCCTTCACGTATTATATATAAGGATACTGTTCTTGTGCATGTAATACAGGGTGGTCCAAAAAGAACTGACACATTTTAATATACATAGGTATTTATTTATCAAATTTTAACAACTAAAAAACAAGTTTTTGGTAATATTCAATAAATCTCAATATGGCCACCTTTTAAGGCTCTGCCGGCATTAAATCAAAATTTAGCATATCACACACCTTTACTACTTAATGTTAATGTTTGACGGGAAGTTGAATTTTTATATGGCGCCGGCAGACCCTTAAACGGTGGCCATATTGAGATTTATTGAATATCACCAAAAGCTTTTTGAGTTTTTCTATTGATACATATGTAAATGTTATCACGTACCGGTAGTTAAAATTTTGTAAATAAAAATTTATGTTAAAATGTGTCAGTTCTTTTTGGACCACCCTGTATTATTTTTAATTAAAGTTAATGGTTGAAACATATTTAGTTGGCATTAATGACATTAATTAATGTAATTATTTCAAACAGTAAGAATACATGAGTGTGCAAATTGTTTTTCCTTTCTGTACACTGCTTTGCAACAGATAGCCCAAAAATACATTTTAAGTTGCATTTTTAATTCTTTTGGGCTATATTTTTAGGCTAAAAAACAAGGCCACCAGAAAATGAGAAAAGAAATAGAAATGAAATTTTTTATGAATCTTCTTAGTTGATGTAACTTAAAATACAATTGATACAGTACTGTAAAAAAATTTTAAACTGTTTAGTGTTGGTGTGAAACATGCGGTTGCTTGCAGATTAATATTTAAAAGTATTTATCTAGGTGTGTTTATACCAATAACAAGTTTATTAATGTTTTGAGTTACCAATAAGCATTATGTCTGCTAACAACTAATCTTGGATGCATTTTCATAACTCATTTGCAAAATGAATACAAAAGGTTTCACCCTGAAAGTAGTAGGTTAAACCAAAATGGGTTTTAGATCAACCAAATGGCCACAGCTCCTGATTCTCAGCGCCTGAAGTTACTACGTGAAGTGGCTGGGACAAGAGTGTATGATGAGCGAAAAGAGGAGTCAACTGCTATCCTTAAAGGTAACTATACCGGGTGTCCGGGATAGAGGTATCAAGAAATAACTATAACTAAGATTGTGTGTACAAAGTTTAACGGTCATATTTCAAACACAATGCCTAAAAACAAAAACTACAAGTTTGGAAAATGCAATCTTTCCATGTGACCAAGCTAAATCATTTCTGACCATAACAACAACTTGGTCACTAATGTGAATATCAGATTATGTTTACCGAGAAGTCAGCTAATTGAAACACTAGTGTTGGCTTTAAATGCATAATATTGACGACAGTCATTATGATTTCGCGATTTTCAATTAACTGTAACTGTAATATTTAAGAATGGCCAGAAATGATTCAGCTTGGTCACATGGAAAGATTGCATTTTTCTTAACTTGTAGATTTTTTGCATTGTGTTTAAAATATGGCCATAAAACTTATAGACACAATCTTGGTTGTACTTATGACATGTTGCCATAGTTTTTTAAAATAAAAATAACTTTGAGCGAATTTCCCATATAGGGAATAAGCTATTACTGTAGAACTCATGGTAAGACCTAGACCCGGGACTGATTTAGGTATTTTTTTGTTTTGAGGTCCCTAGAGGCCAAAACACCATCCGTTCAAATTCATATATATAAATAGGCTATATATTTTTATATAGGCCTTATATATATGTGTGTCCTCCGATTTTGATGAAATTTGGTATAAACGTGTAAACCTACAGTTATTTGAACGAGTTCGCGAACCAGCATGATCGGACTATGGGAACGGGTATTTATGGGGGGTTTTATGGGGTAAAAGTTGGTTATTCCCATTTATGACCCTAAAAACAAAAAATTAGCAAATTATTACCAAACCATATTGTAGAGCTTAAAAAAAAATAATTTAGTATATTGAAGCATTACTATGCGCCTAATGGTTACGGAGAAAATTCCAAAATATTGTAAATTTAAAATTTCCATGTTCTTCAAGAAACCCATTGGCGCCAACTTACAAGCGTTACTCGTACAGCCGCTGCGGGCCCGGCGGCTGACTTACGAGTGCCGCTCGTGTCACCGCTACGCAGTGCCACTAGTTATTTAGTTATTATTATTTTCCCCCCATTTTGTTTCTTCTTAATTTTATGATGTTTATAAATATCTGGCTTCTTGTTTTGCATATTTACTCATCAATTTTGCAAATAACAAACAAGGTTTTGTTGCCATGGAAACCAGATATCACCCAAAATCAGCTGCGGGAAGGTAAAACAAACTTTTTTTTATCTATGTTATCTATATATATAAAATCCAATGTATGTTTGTATATTTGTATGTTTGTATATTTGTATGTTTGTCCTTTATGGACTCCAAAACCGCTATACAGATTTTAATGAAACTTTCAGGCATTATTAAGTATTATTCAAGGAAGGTTTGTGTGAAGTTTGGTGCAGATCCGTCAATAGGGCTCCGCCCCAGAGGCTCTGGAGTTTCCAATGTTAACCTTATGAGTACTGATATTTAAATGGAATTAAAGAATCTTAACAGCTGGTGCAACTAAACAATTTGATTCTGTGATGTTCAATAGCATTAAAAAGTTAATAGGTTTACCAACAGGGTGCAGCACTATACTTATTTTTAATTTATGAGAACAGCTAATTTGCAACCAAAAGGTGAGTGAGCGTAGCGAACAAACTTCAACCTGGAGGCGAGTTAGCGTAGCGAACGAGCTAACCTGAAGGCAAGTGAGCGCAGCGAACGAGCTCCAACCTAAAGGTGAGTGAGCGTAGCGAACGAACTTCAACCAGGACGTGATTGAGCCATGCGAACGAGCTCATCTTGAAAATGAACGAGCATGTGACATAAAACCACAATAGGACAGGACGACGTCTGTCGGGCCAGCTAGTTACTTATAAAAGTTAGAGGTGTGCGGATATCCGAAAAATCGGGTCGGATTCGGTTCGGTTCGGATACGGAGCCTAAATTGGATATACGACACTATCCGTTATATATCCGACTTTTTCGGATAGACAACATATTTTGACGTTTTGGACAGAAAACTAAATCTTCATAACCATCATTAGTTTCCCAGGACAAAATTACAGCAATACTTCCAACACAATGTAACAGCAAAGGACAAAGAAGCCGTATAATGCAATACCGATGTCTAGTTTATAGTCGTTATCGGCTGTTTTGCTTTACGATTAGATTCGTCTGGAACGAACAGACATAAAGCAGAAAAGAACTACCATGGTCAACTCGTGCTTGTCTCCTGATACTAGGGGCGCTATGCGTAATCGTTTTTTTTTACAGTACTGTTTTAAAGTATAACAATCTAGCCTACTTCTGTGCTGTTACGTAAACAATAGATTTAATGTTTCCCGAAAAAAGTCAGAATAGGAACAATAGAAAGGCAACACAATAGAAGGGTGGGAGGGGTTGGGCAATGACCTCGAAAGGATCCCGGGTAACGGGTAGCAACAGTGAGTTGAGTAGGCCTTGAGGGGGGAAGGGGTGGGTACGACCTTGAAGCTATATATAGACTTGCGCTACTTCCCTAAATCGAAAGGACTGGCGAGTGGTATTCCAATCACAGGACAAGATACGTTGTTTTTTGGGTTTTCATTGCCCGGTTTGACTTTGGATTGTCTTATTGTGTAGAAACTTTGAATAATCAAAAATAAAATTAGAACTAACCACGATTATTTGGCATTGATTGTGTATATTAAATGATTAAATGATAGGGGGGACCAGGGTAAATATACAAACTTTTGTCATGATTTGAATTTCAACATCAAAATACAATATTGCACAATCATGATGTTTTAGGTCATTGACCTTTATTATGCATCCGGTATTGCTGTTTCAGAAGAGAAGCACAATGATAAATTATAAATTGATATTCCCGTGGTTAAAAATAATTATTTTATAAACCTATAAAACAAAATTATAAAATCTTACATAAAGATAATAACAATAACAGCAATTGTAAAAAGGGTATAAAGATAACAACGTCATTATACTTTCTCTTTGTTCTTCTATTTCTTGGGTTTCCCTTCATCACGCATTCAACAAGTTGCCATGGTTACTAATCACCCATGTCGGTATCAGCTTTTGTGACATAGCGCACAGGAGGGGGTAAAACTTGTTGAAAATCGGTTAATTTTTACCTATTATTTAATTACCAATGTAATTTATTGGTACTGTATTAATAAATTGGCCGATTTTTGTCAAATTTTACACCAAATTTAATGAAATATCAAGGTGAATATCAATAAAACAATTATCACCAAATATTTTTATTCGTTTAAAAGATTGATTTGTGTATTGGGTTCCCCACTGAGTGCAGCTGAGTGGCACTAATGAGGGTTGAATTGCCTTGGGGGTGAACAATAGATGGCTTATCAGACCCGACCCTCCCCAGTGGTCTGTAAAAGCTTGTAAAAAAACGGCTGTACCGAAACTGCTACGACGTTTTATGATCATAATCCATACCGAAACTGCCACGCCAATTAGTGAGGATTATAAGGGTGTTTTTGAGAATGCTAGAAACACTGAAACTGCCACGGCGGATTCCTCAGGAAGGGGAGGTTGGTTTGGCAACGTGCAGGGAGAAACGGGAATGAGAATATCCCTCACTCATCACAGTGACGATTTTGAAACACAACACTTTACTTTGCTCATAACTTAGTTAAATGCTTTTCATGTCGCTACTTAAAAGAGGCCATACTAACTTTGTACTTATTTAAATCAAGTATCAATAGAAAATCCATTTAACTACCGATGAAGTCAGAAATAATTAAATAATATTGTTCTAAAGGATTAAGATTGCAATTGAATGTAAAATGTTTCTTACTAAATGTATTATATGAATGCTCTTAACCCGTTATAGTGAATTACTGGCGTTAAAGAACTCGATAAACACATATTTTATCATTAGATTTGAAGTTTTCAGTTTATAAATATACCAAGGTGTAGGTAGGCATCGTCAAAATTGCACAAGAAGAAACATAATCTAATGCAAATAATAGCACAACAGGATACGTGTCCTGAAGTACAAATAAAACACAATTGTGATAAATATGTTGATCATATTTGGCGAATTTATTGATTTCATCCTATACTATTAATATTTTGCAAAAAAACACTTAACCTCGCCGTAGCAGTAAACCCTAGGTATTTGTTAAATCTAATGTTATTTAAATGGGGAATAAATATGTCTTGTTTATGGACAATTTTAGTAAGAATCTAATCAAACAAATTGAAATTCACTTAGTGTGCAGGTTTGCTGCGGGCTGCGGTGGAGGTAATGTATTTAATTTAGAAATGGGCTGGGAATACCGTGAAAACATGCTTTTCAGCAATGAGTTGGAAATACTGCGCGCACTGCGTTCCAATTGTCTTAGGAATTGGCGTCGAAGTATGAGATCCTTTGTGATGACTAGAATACTCAGAATTGAGTTCGAGTCTGTCCAGATTTTGTTTAGTACGAAATACAAATAAAATACAAGACTAGGACAAGAAATATACAGATACAATTATACTTGTATACATAAGGCGAATAATGTGTAGGTTTACATTAATAATACCAGAAAAACTTCAAAATTGATAAGTATACATTTTAGATACGGTTGATAAAAAATAAATCCTAATAGCCTAGGCTACTTGTAGTGATAATTCAGGGTCACCTAATTCTGCCAACCTAGCAACCGGGAATAGCACGTGAATTTTAAGTATCAGGAAAAAGTCCATGAGTTGTAATTGAATTTAGTAAGACACCGGAAAATAAAAATGGTCAAATATTTGCCGTAAAATCCACCCGAAAACACAAAGCTTACACGTTTTGCGTAATCGAAAAACGCCATTGCGAGAAACTACTGTAGAAATGGCCACGAATATTGGCGCAATATCGATAAATCATCACACACTAAGCCGCGAGTGCAAGATGATCATTAATTTTTCGTCGATCGCAAAAAATAGTTACGGGTGTTAAAATAATCGCTGGAGATGAATGCGAATGTTGCCGCAATTGTGAAATCATCACCG